GTAGTAGTAGTAGTGGTAGTAGTAGTAGTTGTTGTTGTGGTAGCGGTAGTAGTAGTAGTAGTAGTAGTAGTAGTAGTCGTAGTAGTAATAGTAGTAGTAATAGTAGTAGTAGTAGTAGCAGTAGTAGTAGTAGCAGTAGCAGCACGGGTAGTAGTAGAAAGTAGTAGTAGTAGTAGTAGTAGTAGTAGTAGTAGTAGTAGTAGTAGTAGTAGTAGTAGTAGTAGTAAGTAGTAGTAGTAGTAGTAGTAGTAGTAGTTGTTGTTGTTGTTGTTGTTGTTGTTGTTGTTGTTGTTGTTGTGGTAGCGGTAGTAGCAGTAGTAGTCGTCGTCGTCGTAGTCGTAGTGGTAGTGGTAGTAGTAGCAGTAGGAGGGGTAGAGGTAGGGGTAGAAGTAGTAGTGGTGGTGGTGGTGGTAGTAGTAGTAGTAGCAGTAGTAGTAGTGGTGGTGGTAGTGGAAGTGGTGGCAGTAGTGGTAGTAGTAGCAGTGGTAGTAGCAGTTGCAGTAGTGGTAGTGGTAGCAGTCGTAGTAGTAGTAGGAGTAGTCGGAGTAGTAGTGGTGGTAGTAGTAGTAGCACTAGTAGTGGTAGTAGTGGTAGTAGCAGTAGTAGCAGCAGTGGCAGTAGTAGCAGTTGTACCAGTAGTAGTGGTTGTCGTCGCCGAACGGACACACACACACACACTCACACACACCAAAGCTCACCCGAACCATGCGGGAACAGAAAACACCCTTACGGGGACGGAAAGCCTTGCTGGACAAAGAAAACTCTCCTCCGGGAACGTAAAGCAAGAAAGCAGCAACATTTCAACCCCACAGGCGGGAACTGCAAACACCTGCGGGAACACAAAGCCCTCACGGGCACAGAAAACACCATTCCGGGACAGGAAACGGCATTTTTGGAGAAGGGAATGTGGAGCGGATCCGAACATAGTGAGGTGGGGTGGATGTCATTGAAATTTGCTGAAAGCAGGTTCATTCTGCCGCTGAACTGTCGATCAGTGCTCCACCAGCTTGGCACATGGCGTTCTGCGTTCTGGGGTGGCCGCTCCAAAAGACACAGACTGCGAGGACATGCCAGATGCTGGTAGTGCGAGGACCGAGACCCTCAAGTCGGTTGGAGGGAACAAATTGAGACTTGCTACACTGCTACAAAATGGGACGGGAACAGAGGAAAACTTGGAGAATCTTGGTACATCTTCGATTTGAAATCTTGGGGGATTTTGGATATTGGCAGCCAGCGCCGTCAGCACGCGCGCGCTCCGACGCACCTATGCCCGTCGAACTGTTGATCGGAGGGCAAGAGGTTGGTCACTATGAATTAAAATAAGAGAAAGGCTAAGGATTGTCCCTATAACATCCTATATTTATTCCTCATTAAGTGATCGAGTATATTTCGGTACTTGTATTGACATGTATTGACCAAATCTTTCGCAGCAGCGAGGAGAATGGGGGGTATGGCCACGAGAACGTGTTAAATCACCGATCAATGAGTTCACTGACTTCTGGCGCAAAGGAATGGCATGATGAATTCACCAAATCGATCCCTTCCTGCCACCGCTGAGGCCCAGACTTGGCTGTGAGGTGGGGGAGTCTGATGGTTCAGTTATCGGTGGTCAGGGTTGCCGGGTTGGCTGCGGGGATCGGGGTTTGGGCCGAGTCGATGAGGTCAACGGCCGGTTGTTGAACTCATCAACATTGGTCAAATCCCATCAACTTATGTCCAGCTAGGTATCGCAAATTATTCCAAATTGATCCAAATTGGATCTTGGCGATTTTAAGCCCATTTGTTCTTTCGGAAACCATCAAGATCGGCCATTTTGCTATGTTTCATTCTGATCGAACTTCTCACCGTGTGAACAATTTGGCGTGTTGCCGGAGGTATCGAAGGCACGTGGCCGAGATGTTGAACCAGTTCGTCAGGGAAGCCAACGACGCCTCCAGCGCGGGCGTATTGAAAAGGCTTTTCCGCAGAAAGCGTCGCTGCTGCGTGGGCGAGACTGTCATCACCTGACAAACGGTTGGGAAGGATTACAGTAAGTTCCATCTTCGTTTTTGAATGTTCTTTTGCACCTTTAACATCCTTGAACCCTTTACATTCTTCTGGCAGGTCCGAGTTTTGAAATGGTCTCTGTGTGACTGTGTGATGTTCATTCCAGGAGTGTGCAGGTGCAGTGCTAAATCCTTGCCCCCTTTTGGCCGAAGCTGCTTTGCTTTGCTTGCTGTGTCAAAGCTTGAGAGTCGGCGCTTGGCTCAGAGGAAATTTGTAGGGCACGGATGGGCCAACCATGGTCACTCTGAAGAACTGTTTTAGTTTGGACATGTTTGGACTGACAGATGCCCAAACATATCCAAACATACTCAGCTGCCGGTTCATGATGTTTATAATTTATAAAACCCTATAATATACAGACTTATTTGTTAAACATATCTTAGATAATTCTTAGTTAGCACAAACCCGAGCGAGTTCGCCCCCAACCATCCAGAGCATCGTCCCCACCGTGGCCAGAACGCGCTGAGCATAGTAGTCGGTGGCCATGGAGGGCCCAATCATTGCCGAGTTCAGCAGCCTCAACGCCTTGAATCAAAAGGCCAGCCACCGAGTTCGTTGAGAAGACGGAGACACATCAAAACGTGTGAATGAAAGAGTGACTTGTTTTTTGTTTGCAACAGAAAAAGCACAGTCATGGAAGAAACCGCCTTGATGGTGAGCCATGACCTGACAGGGTTGGTGTTTGATGGACATTGTTACATGCAGTGGTTCATTGGAAAAGGGCGGGAATTTGTGACCATACCTCATGCACGCTCATGAGCCTAAACTTTGATGGGATTGTAGGGGTTGCCCGTGGTTCTTAGTGAGCTTGAAGCTACATTCTGATTGTGAGAATCAAGCGCCATGAATCTCCAGTCGGACTTGCGGCACATGTTGGTGGTCCATCAGTTCCATGTCCCTTCGAAGTTCCCAACCTGTAGTAATCCCACTCGTGAATTGATGTTTTTCATATATTTTATCGCAGTGTTGTTTAATACTGTTTAAACTAAACTGAATTCCTGAATCAAGAGTTTAAAGTCATCAGATTTCCTAAATGATGGGACATATGGTACGAATCCGATGTGATTTAATCTGTTGGGAAAGGCGTTGTTGATCATAGACTAGAAGGGAGGCGGGGAAGCCAGGGCAACCACAGCGACCAGTCCTGCGACCAAGATGGCCCAACAGCCATTTTCATAGGGTCGGGAAAGCCGGGATTGAGTTCAAATTCAAAGTGAAGAGGTGCCTCAGGACCCACGGAGAGGTCACTTCTGCTCCTTCCAACTTAAGTATTTTGTCATAAGTTTTTTCCATGCTTCAGATGTTCAAGCTGTTAACCTGCGGCTGCCAGGCCTTTTTGCCTCCCTTCACGGAAGGCCAGGGGCAGAATTTGCAGATCTATGACACCGAGATCCACGGGGTGCCTCCTTGAAAGCTCATAGGTACCCCGTGGGGGTAGGCCATTGGTGACCCCGGAGTGATCCGGAGTAGTCCATTGAGGTGTTGCTTGCTTGCTTCTTTAATTGCGTGTCCTTATCATCCCGTTGCCACGTTTCTTGCTGTCTTCGACATTTGGCAAGAGTCTTCCACATTGGGGAGAAGATGGGAGAACGCTGATATGATCTGATATGGGTTGTTAATGGATTCATGGTGATGTTTCCTGTTATGACCTCTTCAGTGGACCTCTGCACCGCATCGCACCACTGCGCCGCTTTCCAACGGAGGCCTTCGTCCTGGACACCTCACCGATAGGTGCTCAGCCGGCTGTGCTGATGAGCCAAATGGCCCCAACAGACCACACGGCCATCCCAAAGAAAGGCTACCATAATATGATTCTGGGCTATCTGCAAGATTGTCCTCCAATTGACAAGTGGTTGGGCGTCTCATGGTTTCACAGCATGACGAATATATATATATATATATTCGTCATGCTGTGAAACCATGAGACGCCTGTATAGGTTTCAGAGCAAAAGAGCTTCAACCCACCTACGGAAACGTGCCCGTGAAAGTGAGGTCAAGGTTTTGGTTTGCTCGTCGGGTTCGTCATGTGTGTGTTTGATTTTCACAAGCAAGAGAGATCCAAAAGGATAGGGAGAGAGTGAGAGAGAGAGAGAGGCCCGACTTCCACCACATATCCACATAAGTACTGAGGAGAAATTCTAGGACTCTGGATTGAAAGACTCACTTCTTCATCAGTGAAGGGCTTTGGTTTATCATTGCTTATTATAAGGTACTTATTTTGCCACTGTCTCAAATCATTGTTTCCCTCATTTGCTTGTTGCTTTGACTCAGCAGCAGATCTCCTTTTTGTTTTGGTCCATGTAACTCGAAATCTTTTGGACCGCACTAGAAACAAAGCACGTTCATGGTAGATTGCCCATGAACGTCAATTATTGAAGACTATTCACATGTTTGCTGGTATCATGCTGCATCAAAGATCGCTGCACGTCCAACAGCGATGGGGGTGATGAATCCACCATGTTCATCGGTGTCACTCGGCCGCAGGTCCTTTGATCGGCCGCGAGGGGGTGATGATCTGGCGCGATCGGGCGATGGCAAGTGGTGCATGGAAAAGGGTTTGGAGAGGTTAAGACAGCGACGGCATGCTGTAAAGTGGGCCACACACCGCCAAGGAATGAAACACTTACTGTAGTTTAGTTATATAACCCTTCAAATCCAAGTGCCTGACATGGGCGCAAACATGTGCCACGGAAACAGCGGCCAACAAACATTTAATGATGTTCACTGTTGTGTGTGTGTGTGACATATACGGATTGAGATGGACAGAGGTGTTTTGCTGGGAAAGGTTCCGAGCTTGGGAAAGGGTTCCCAACCGCTGATAGGGGATACGCTGGGTGAATGGCAGGCTGGTTGGGAACAGCTTGGTGAGGGGAATAGACTTCAATGGAGGCTATATAACAGGCACAATTTGATACGATATTGGTACATATTTCAAAGCCAGCCTTGTTGGGCTGCAACGAACAGGCTGCATGTTCAAGGCCAATGGGAAATTCTTTGATGTATAGTCAAGTCCTATCCTAGTGTCGTGTTGAGGGAGTTAAGCTTCCATTGGGTGTGATCAAAATAAAAACAATAACAACATAGGAAAATAAGAGAATTAGGATATAAATAGCATCAAAATTAGGATAATGGCACTGAATCGTTGTTTCAGATGCCACCTGATGACTCATGTTCCTCGCTCAATTCCACCCTTCGCTGACAGCGGGCGTTCCGCTTTTCCTGGTCGGCGTCCTGTTGAGCGGAGGCAGCTCCGCACTCCCAACGGGAAAGGCTTCTGAGGCTGGGGTCGGCTCAGTTGAAAGTGAAAAGGATTGAACATGATTGAACAGATGTGCATCATCAAAGTCGGATTTTCTTGAAACAGCAAAAACTCCCCAAAGGCAACAGAGATGTGGACCCGTGGGAGCTTTGAACGTGTCGAGTTACAATTAGAATCATGCTTGTTCTCATCTAATCCGAGCACTATAGTTTCCCCTCCCGGGTCAAACGGAGGGAGGTCACTATCTAGTGAATCATCCTCATGTGAACCCTTCTCACACAGCTCTTGGAGATGGTTTCTGCAGGTTTCTACCCATTGAGTTGGATTCCCAATGTTTGGGGAACGGCCAAACCATGCCGAACTCGAGGGGAGAGTCGACCTACACGACCTCGAGCGGTATCAACGAGCACTTCATTGAGGACCAGCACGGAACTCTGTTGGCTTTGCAGGTAGAACATTGTATAAATCCGAGTGACCAAAATATATAAGATGGTGGGTGGTCTTGAACTGACTGCTTGAAAACCTGCGTTTGCAACACATGGAAGCACAATGCACTGCACACATCCGAGAAGGCGAGTGCAAACCAGTTTAAGCTGCAAGGGTTTTGTACAGAAGATCCAGCGCCCAAAAAAACGGTTTTGGACAGCAGGCTGATGCACGTTGCATGGAGAAAAGCACATGCTCCAAAGTCTCCCTTTCGGTAAATTATTTTTCCACATCTCCGCCCGTTTGGGCAATGGCTGTGACCGAGATTACTCGGCAAAAGGCATTGTTGGACGGGGAGATTGGTTGTTTGCTGTTATTTGGAATTTGGACATTATGTATCTTTGTGTTTCATATTCTTTTTTGCATTTGTTTCATCACAGCATCATTTTGCCTCCTTGTTGAGCCCACTAGATGCGCGACCAAGGCCCCAACTGCTTCAGTATGGCTTGTTTGAATCCCAGCTCTACCGCGATTTGACTGTGGATGTGTGAGTTACTAGCATATGTTGCGTTGATATCATATCATATATAGTTTACATCATTCATTTCTCGAAGTGTAGAGGCATCTCCGGCATGGCTTGAACTTGAACCCAGAAGAAATCAGATCAGTATTGACATGTGAGCGCCATGGCCTCACTGCGTCACAAGCGTGGTGCCATGTGTCCTCTACTCTCGAGGACGCACTTGCTGCCGAAAGCTTCCAGTACAGAGGCTGGGGACTGGTTGAGAGTCTCGAGAGATTCGGAAGAAAAATGCCAATGGCCAACGGTGGATGTCTATATTATATCCCCGCCCTATTTGTAGAGACTTGGAGCCCGTGTTTGAGACAAAGGGCAGTGATGCCAGCACGCTGGATGCATATTAGCCCATCTGATCCCATCTGCCCTATCTATGCACAGTAAATTGGATACGCTGCTATATTGGCCGGAAGGGTTACCACCAGGGTTGCAAACAGCCATTCAGATGGTGGCTGGTGGGTTGCAGCTTGGTTACCACCGGAAGATGTGTAAACCAGCCTTTGCCAACTGTGTTTGGACCCTGTCCGCTTTGGCACAGGAACGGGAACGGCTTTTGCGAAGACTGGAGATGTGTGCGAAGGCACTCAGCATGAGACGGATGTATGCAATTACAGGTCAAACACAACATGCCCAAGTATATACTTAGAGCATTCCAAAACATTCTAGAACAATATTTCAATATGAGAAGGTTCCCCATGTGGACTGTCACTTAATTTGCCTATTCTGCCATATGTAACATGCCATTCTGCTTTCTGCTGGTGCTCCCGAGACCCACCTCTTCCTGAGTCGGGGGCAGCGTCAGCTGAGCAAGAGTTTTAAAGTAAGAGGCAGTGAACAATCTGAAACACACCTGCAGAAAGACCAGTGAACAGTGCAGATAGAGGGAGCGAGCTCATGGTCCTGAGCGGCCGGTTCACCTGTGATCCATGGGAGGCCAGAGAGGAATCGACCAAGATCATGAGCATCCGGTTTGCTCAACGCGATGCCGTGAAGCACGACATGAAGCAAGACAGGCATTTTGCGGCAGATCCATCGGGATCCGACGACCGAACGAGCGGCAGGTCCATTGGGATCCCCTGGGCCGTTTGATCAGCAGGTCTAGTCAGATGGCACGGTCTTTTGTGTGCTTGTTTGGATGCAATATTTCAAACCAATGCTCTTCCAGACGATGCTAACCAGGCTATACCAACTGATCGAACTGATGCTAATTGCCGGATAACCTTTGGTTGAAGGAGTGTCTTTCAATTTGATGTTTGTCAGCAACCCTCAAGATGCTTTTTCCTAGCAGGTCCTAGCATTTTACAGTGGCCCCACCTGTTTGACCCTGGCAATTGTGTAAGACTTTCTCCTTGTCGCCACCATGCACGTGCCAAACACGCCCATCCTTCGCGCGCAGTCGCGCAGACTCTCCAGCCAGCTAGCTGTATTGCACCCCCCGGGTTCGCCAGGCGTGTCTACCTGGACCGCTTGTTAGCCTCGCAGCGTGAACGAGACGAGCGCTGGGCCAGGAGATCGGGCGTGCCGCTGGGGCATGGGTTTCGGGGCAAGGCGCTGGACCAGCAGATGGGCATACGGTAAGATTTACGACTCCGAAAATGAGCTCCTCACTTATATGAACAACCAAATGGCCCATTGAAACGTTGCTATGCCAAAGACAGTCAGTATATGTCAGTATAAAATAGTAACTTGGCATGTGGCCATATTGTGACCTGCAGCCTGTGGACAATGCTGCTGGTTAGTCAATTTCTTGACCAAACAATGACAATTCCTAACACGCCTGTGTCAACAGTCTTTTTGCGCAGCATGACGTGGCAAGGTCGACCAAACCAGCACTTTTGTAACATTTTGTAACCCGTATCATGGTGGTCAGTCAGTGGTCAAGGCCTATTTGAGAGATTAAATCAACAAACACATGTTAAAGCTAAACACGCGACTCCTCCAACGTTTACAGATTTCCTCTAACTTGGGAACAGCAAGGAAGCAGGTCCATGAAGGGGTTGCTGCCTCGTTGGGTTCTGCAATTGATGGGAGGTTTCTGTGGATTGGCCAAAGCTTGCAACTGTCGATCAAGAGCTGTCTATAGAAACAGAGGTTCCATTCCTCCATGTTCTAAATCTCGGGATCTGCAGGATTTCAAAGGGTCCACGTCTTGAGAGTCTAGGCGGCCAAACTTCACGTTGATGTCCAAGGCTGCCACAGGATCCAACCGTTTTTCCATGCTAAATCAGGACGGGCATTATGAAGACGCATGACTTCTTCGTCCCCCCCAGGCCGCATTGACTCCTCGGGCGAGCCGGCCCCGAGCCGGAGCCGGAGCCCCGAGAGCGAGCGAAGCGACCGGCCCGTAGGAGGCTGCATAAGAGCCCCTTCGCCGTGGACCTCGTGGCGGAAGATCAACGTATCTCCGAGGAGAGACTTCCGGAGATCGCGCCCCGCAAGCTCGCCCCAAGCGAGCTTGGGTGTGAGATGAGGTGTTCAGTGATTCATGGTGATTCCGGAGATCTATGAACAGTTGGAACATGTTGGAACCAATTGAACAAGTGCTGAAACCGACACCATGAAGCTGTCTCAGTGAGTCAGGATAAAGGAAGGAGAGCCTTTCCCAACAATGTTGTGCAGCTATTTAAGACCATTTCATCTCCGCTCAAGTTGAGTCCCCTTTGGGACCCTGAGTTTAGGTTTTGTGGAAAAAACATTCGACCGCAAGAGCAACAGTAGGCCAGTTGACCATCCGTTCGTTGACGGACCTCCTCTTTTTTCTGAAAACAGTGGACTTTGCAGGAGAACCGCGTGCGACAGCTAGTGGAGCACCGGAGGCAGTTTCGATCATTGGGGGTGGGAGTTTGTCAAGCCAGCGCAGGCTTCCTAGATAACAGATATCACGAAAGGTATCGGTTAAGTTACCACTTAGTTTTCTTTTTTCTTTAGCAAACATATAGGGGATGGAATTTCTTCTACAGAATCGCGGGGGTTGGGACCCCGATAAGACGATTTTTTAAGCCACTTTTTCTTGGCTCATATGGAGGTTGTAAAGTCCTGTCCTTCAAGATCCTCGATTTTATAGAGAATTGTTGTTTTTTACAAGTTTGATTCTATAGGGGCTTATAAGTATAGCGAAGGGATTCTGGATGTCTCAGGCATGCGGCATACTGATTCTATAGAGAATGGTTTTGCATGTTAGGAACTGCAATTCTATAGAGACTGATGTTTTTTCAATGCATCCCGTTCAAACCTCGCCTGATTCCGAGAGTACGCAATTGGGATTGCTCAAACGAACCCTGGGGAATGGGTTCTTGGATAATCTTGGATGAGTCAGGATGACGCTAGCAAATTTGGAGCATTCTAGCAAGTGAACGCTTTATATGAAACACTTTGGAAAATCCTAATGCATCCTACCAACTGGCAAATCAATGCCTTCCAAGAAAGTTGCATTTTAATGTTTTTTTTGAGACCCCTGTACCTTGATTCTATAGAGAACCAGGTTCTTACTATATTTTTTTTGAGACCCATGTACCTTGATTCTATAGAGAACCAGGTTCTTACTACAACTCAAGCACACCTGTTCAGGAGTACCTTGGGACCTGCATTTTTATAGACAAAAACCATCAATATTCACAACTTTCTACAGCTTTTGACAGACTGATGGCCCTCAATTCTATAGAGCTGAATCTTTGTTTTTGAACTCTTTTCCTATGTTATCCTCAATTTTATAGGGTCAAAAAGTGACCCTCATTGGAGGGGGGTTGGTCCCAGCATTTTAGCGCTATAAAATCGCTACCCCCGAGGTACCCACTTAATTCCAACCCCTATGCAAACATGAATTATAACCAGAGTGGAGGCCTGTCTCACTGAGAAATCGCCTCCGACATTTCAGTTTTGTGGCCCCCCCTTTCAACTCCACCCTGGCGCGCCTTTTTGTCAACGCCTAGAAACACCGTAAGGACCAGTGTTTTCAGCTCCTCCAGTCTTCAAGAGTGGCCTCAAACCACGCAATAATATATATATGTATATATATGTGGCTGTTTGGAAAAAAACTCATACAAACCGATGGTTCTTGAGGTGTCTAGGCTTCACGAATGGTCGAACAATGACCAAAAACAGGAAAGATTGTGTCAGAAAGGTTTTTTGTTTGCTTTTGGAGGCTTCAACATGGCAAAAACACGACGGTATTTACATGGTTTTGTGCGCCTTCCTGGCACAAAACCCCGTAAATATCAATGGTTTCAAGCTGTGTAGGCTTCACAGTGCTGATTCGAAAAAGACATCTGCTGATTGGTGTTCCTTTGATCACGCAAAGTCGCCTGAACTACCTCAGTTCTCCTTGCTTTAGCAATAATGTATCACACTCAGGACTTGGTGCTTTGCATTGAGTTTGGTCCTGTAAGAGAGGATTCTGTTCGACATGGAGGGGGGGGACGCCGTCCTGGACTTCTACCAGGTTACTTGTGATTGCTTGCTACCTTTCGTTCACCCCCTCCTCTCTCAAGTATGCATTGTAGCATCCAACACTGGAAACTTGGAAAGCCAGGATTCAACGAGTCATTTTTACACCACCTCGTCAGAATCCACGGTCAAGTGAGAGTTGAAAGGACATTGATATTGATTATGTGATGTCTATGCGTTTACTGTATTGAGGGGTTGCACTCCATGTGTAACCCAGTTGGCCCGATTGACTTTGTTTGATGGCAAGTGTGGTAGTGATATATAGTGTTAGTGTGGTAGTGGTGGTGGTGGTAGAAGTAGAAGTGATAAGACTTGGCGGTGTCATTGATCTCACATCACTTGCCATGCGGCTCCCGTTCTTCGCGGCGCTTCGCGGCACAGGGCGAAGAGCACCGCGGCCAAGAGCCGCGATGCACACCACCGGAGCCTTGGGCGCCAGTTGGGGGCAGCGGGGCGCGTCCTGGAGCGTTGCGTCCCTCGTGGGGGGGGACGTTGGGGGACTTGTTTGGGGCCCAGGAACCGGGCATTGCAACTAGGAGCAAGAACGCTACTAGGGCCTAGGGGCTCCTGGAGGAGAGGTCATCAGATCTTCTCTTGGAAGTCAACAGTTCATTGATGTTTGTTTTCTGAATCCCAAACTTGGACTTTCGATCCCTTCAGCTGAGTCATAGAGGGTTGACAGGCTAAACCAGGATATATATATATATATGTATAAATACGCACCCTCCATGTCGCAAGGATGTCCTGCTTGTGACACTGGCCGTTTGCTTCTTCCAAGCGTGTCTTGCATGACCCGACCCGTTTCGATCAAAAACCCAACGCACGACAAGCGTGGCTTCGTGGCCCTGTGGCTTCAAGGATCTTCAAGCGAGCCACTGCAGAGTCGGACGAGCTCGAACAGCTTCGGAGGGAGAAGAGGCCGACTCGTCGGCGTGTGTGTCCAGCTTCGGTGTCCCAACCCGCAGCGGTGTGACAATCGGTTTGGTCACCTTGAGGACCAGTATGGACCAGTGAGTCTTATTTTGACCATTTTGGTCACTGGTCTTCTATAGTGGGTCACTGGTCTTCTAGTGGGCCAAACGTGTCCCCCAGTGCTTGTTGGTCAAGGCGATCCTGTTCAGCTGCGGGTCTTAACCAGAGCCTCATCATGAAGCAGGTACCTAACTAGGACACCGTACAGATTGGAGGTTCATGGTTCACAAACCTCTCATGTTGTGAGGCATGTGTTCGGTTGATACTGCAGCTGTTTTTGCTTGGGTGACGGGGCCAACGGTGGCCATTTTGGCCACCGGGTGCGGCGAAGGAACCCGACGGAACCTTCGTGGTGCCATGACATGTCTCAACTGGCCGGATGGATACCAGATACCACAGCAGGACGAGGACCAGGGTGAGGAACCATGGTTCGGATGGTGAGGAACAGTAGTTCAAGAAGTGCAGACGCGTGAGAGAGAGGGAGAGGGAGAGAGACAAATGTGAGAGAGAATGAGAGAGATAAAGAGAGGGGAGCCGCCAGCAACTCACGAGTGATATATATATATATAATATATGTTGTTTATTTGTTTTTTTGGAGACTGGTTCTTGGGGCAAGGTTATGGCAAGGATCACAGAAGTGAAACAATGAAGCAACTCCAAGGTGAATGTTTGGACTTGCTTCAGCAGCTGCACCCTGTCGCTTCTGTGTGCAGGCATTGTCAAATTGCAAACCTTTGCAAACATTGTTGCCCAGCTTGGTACAGCGGGGAAGGTCTAGTCTTTTTCCCGGGTTTAGTCTTCCAGTGGAAGCCGCGAGGAAGTCCCGGTGGGCGAGAAGAGCAGGGGACCTGTCTTGAAGGATGTGTCTTTGGCATCGGGTTGGATGGGGCCGACGAATGTGTTCGCCGAAACCAAGAGGCATCGGCCTGATGGCCCTGCATGGGATCTCATGGAAAAAACCTCGGCAGTGTTCTGGCATTTTCGGGCATCGGAGACGGGTGGAGAGGCGAATTTGGGCGAAGTCTGTCCGCAACAGCGAGGGTATGCAAGAAAAAGCCTCGAACCGAGACATGTTCTTTGCATGCAAGACGTTGGGAGTACAATCTCGCATGGAATCGTAATGAATGATGAGGCGCAAAAGGGCAGCCTGGGGTGCAAAAAGTGGGTTAGGGGAAGGTCCGAGCACCTGGTCGGAGAATTGATGTCCATCAGAATCAGAATAATATGTTGACCGTTCATTCCGCATTACCGCCCTAGGCCCCAAGACTCTAAGACTAAATCTCTTTCGAACCAGGCACCAGGATTCAAAGATCATCACACATCTCCATCTCGCCGGCTAAAGAGGTGTGTGTGTGTGTGTGCGTGCATTTTTTGCCGAAACCTTTGAAGTGACTCCCCCTGCAAAGATCCCCAACTGGAGGGGTGTCAAATTCCATGAGGTTGCCCTTTTTCCCTTTTTCCTGCTAAAATGCAGCTGGCTTGACCTGTTCACTCTCGGGGACCAGCTCAGGCCGTAGCCTATGGCATCCGATCGCTCATGCGGAGGGCGTTATGGAGAGAGAGAGAGAGATCACCACATTTGAGGCTCGATCGAACGGCTCTAGCAGTTTGATTGAGAAGCTTCTGGGCAAGGCCTTGAGCCTTGGCACATTCACGGCCGAAATGGGGTCAAACACGTCCTTCGGCGTGCGCACAAGCGGTCTCAAAGAGTGATCAATCAAGCGGTTTGGTGGCTTCCGTGGAACCATCCCCAGCGGAGGTGGAATCCCTGAAGCCAAGAACCCACGAAGTATTGAAAGCATAGCAGTTGATGCGATTTCATTAAACACTCTGTCAGGTTGGCTTGCCGCAAACGCATTGTTTGCCCAGTGCGCTGAGGAATGATGACATTCTTGCAAAGCTCCGAAGCCTTTTCGCCAAAAAATGCGGCCCTGTACGTGGTACGGCGCTGCTGCCGGGCAGTGCAACCAGGCCTTAATTAACTATATATATATACACATATTATATCTTTGGACACACAGTTCAAGTTTCTGAAAGCTTTAATTCCCAATTGTCCCTGGCCACTTCCCTGGCCTACATACCTATAGATATCCCCCTTGCACAGGTCCTTATGAAATGGGGATCTTAGTAACCTATAAAATGACTTTTATGGGGGGTCATTTTATAAAGATCACTGTGCTTCCGAAAATCGGAATTTCAACAAAAAAGCCTACTTCTTGCGGCAAACTATTTCATAAGAAGGTCGGTTTGGCTCCTGTGTACATTTTATAAACAGTGATTCTTTTTTAACATAGAAACAGACAAAAGGTGCCTCTGAAATTTTATTTTTTTGCTCTCTGAATCCTGGTCACTATTATATAAAAAGGTCGGGTTCTCATTTTATAAAGCAGCAGCATGTGGGTTTCCATTTTATAAATGATTGTTCCTTATAAAATGAAGTCACGGATCCCAGAGACCTCCACAAGGGGGATCTATAGATGTCTTATGCGTCGACGTCCTGCTTGCACTGTGTTCGAAGTAGCAAGTAGGGCATCGATTGGGACAACTCCAAAAGGCGAGTGGTGTCGTGTTAACCCCAAAGACTGACTGAAACCTTCCGCTTTTTGTCGTTGCCTCGTGGCCGTTGCCTCCTGCCGGATCTGCCTCGTGCCCGGATCGCCATTTTGAGGTATGCTTTTGCCTCCAAGACGTCCGAAAAGGGAAAGACCAAGGTGCACCAGAGACTCAGTCGATGCAGCCAGTCGTGTTGCTTGGAAGATCAAGTTTGTTGTTGCAGCCAGTCGTGTTTACAAGAAGCTACTAGTAGTCTTTGGACGCTATTAGGTGGAGGCCATCGCTATTAGGCTGGAGGTCATCGCCACTAGTAGCAAACAGCTACTGTGTATCCATTTTGCGTCTGCCGGTTTTGACCTGCCGACCGAGGTTGCTTCCAACCGAGTCGGGCTACCATGGGAGCCACAGGTATTGCGTGGTGGGTGGCCTTCCACCCTTGCCCAAGAAGGTTTATCGAGTTCGATGGTCAGCTGGAAGGCATTAAGTTTGGATGACGGGAGACCCCACCTCTTGCAGTGCAGATCTTGAATACCTCAGTATCCAAAACATTCCCAAGAAGGTCCACAGACTCCGGGAAAAACAACATAGACCAGAACTCAATTTCAAGTGCGCTTTAACATGGACCACTGGAAACGGTGACTTCCTGAGAAACGGTATTAGCGTTTTTTTTTGCAATTTCTGGACACTCACTAATATGGACGTCTAAGATCGATTTTGACACTAACATGGACCAACTGCAATCTGACTTTCAACTGAACGCAGGCTAACATAGACCGCACCGGTAGAGGTCAACATAGCCCAGTGGAGGCTAACATGGACCATGTCACATACCTCTACGGGCCTCCTGAACATGGTCTACGTTATTCTCAACCGAGGTACTGCAGGTGCAAAACTAGACTCTTTTAGCACAGTGGAGGCCAACATAGACCATGCCAAACACCATGGAATTCTTGCGTTCATTTGGATTCTTGTGCAGCTCCTGGCCATGGCCACGTAGTGTTCATGGTGTTCACTCATGGCCACGGGATTGGATTTTGAGGTCGTCCTTGACTCCTTTGGATTCGGGCGACGAGGACATTATCTTCCGACATTATCGGATCCTTTGGCGACGCCCAGGCCGGAGCCTCAACGAGTGAACCTCCGGAGCCTTAGAGTGAACCGCCCACAATGTGTGGAGATGATAGCTTGGATTTGAGATGCAGCCCCCTCAGTTCAACCAACCAGGAATGACCAGGAATTGCTTTGTTCATCCTTTTTGTTCCTGAGCCTCGTGGGGTGCGCTCTGGCACCAAGGCACCAAGGAAGATGAGCTGGTGGAGCTGGCTGCCCCGAGCGAGCGAGGCCTTTGTCAGATCCTGGCCGTAGATGGCGTGCACGAGGTGAACCCAGAGGAACTCAGCTGGAACCGTGCCATGCCAAAGAGGCCTATGCTGGGCGAAACGGAGCAGGGATCAGATGCACGATGCACGTGGGAGCTACTATACAGCTATATACAGCTATGTGTCCCTGTACAAACATGTAGGAACAGTCTCCTTTTGATGCTGTTTCTCAGCGGAGTTCGTCGTGTGGAATTTTGCATCGCTCCGCCCTTTCCAAGCGCCGCCAGGTTTGAGATGGAGGCTTAGCCCCAATGTGAGCCCTTTGCACAGCCTTTTGAGACTTTCCGACCTCTCAACATGACCCATCAGCGCTTTCCAAGCGCCAATCAGCCTTTAAAAAAAATTCGCGTGTGCGCACACCTCGCAGTTGCAATGCAATCGGCCCGGTCTGTGCGTGCGCTGCAACTTCTCCGGACCCAAGGGCCCAACTCCTAACTCCTCCCAGTCGACGGACTGGACGGAGTTTTTTTTCAAGAAAATCCAAAACCAAAAAATTGTAGTTCTCAAAACGCTTCAATCAACGAAGATCAGATTCCAGGAGGCTTCAATCAACGCTTGAAGCTGGGACCTGCTCAATTGGCTTTCAAGACGCAAAAAAGGATTGGCCTCAGCTGCGCTGGACAAATGTGTATATTATATTATATATTGATCATTTATTGAAAAGAAGTGGGGGTTAATGGGCTTACTGTATATAGCATCACGTGTCCAAGTCCCATTCATGAAACGTCATCTCTGATTCGCTGCGAGCGGGAAGGCAGCTCTTAGAGAATGAGAAGCAGCTGAAAGCGTTGCGGGACGTGGAGAAGAGTAACGCCGCTGGACAGAACAGGACGTCACAAAAACCAGGAAGGAAAAAGAGGCACGTAGTACATAGGACCAAGGGGGACGTATATAGACCAACTGGAGTGATTTGGATGCACCCAGCCATTGACACCCCAGGTGTTTTTCCCTCTGACCAACGGAATGGATGTTCGGTGCTCGTCGAAAAGCGGCCCAACATACATGGGTTCGAGCCAGGCTCAGGTGAGCTGGCATGGTGAAAGTGGATGATGTAGACGACACCTCATAGACCAGGCCAGTCAGGCAGTGTAGCAGAGTTTGCCACCATTCGACGTGGGACATGTGGGTCCTCTCAATCCAATTGCTATGAAACATTGTCCTACATTAGGATGCTTTGAAGGTGTTGTATATGTGATTAATGTAAACCACCATGTAACTGTCTAAGTTGAATGGAAACATTGGATACTTGTCAGATCTTTTCAGATCAATCTGTAGATTCATCGATCGGATCTAAGGCTCGCACCTTGCAGATCCTGCAGGCGCTCGGGGGTCACGACGAGCGGATGGGTTGGGGGAGGGCCAGGGGGGACAGGAGACACGGGTTAAGACTGTCACGACCACAGACTCTGATTGAATCTCTTTGATGCGTTTGCCCTTTCACCCTGGTTTGCCATTTCACGTTTTTGAAGGGCCAGGTCTCAATTTTCCAAGCTGCAGGCTCGGCAAGAGAAGCAGCTGGAGCTCAAGCGGATGAAGCAAATGAGAATGGCACCTCGACTTCAACCGGTTCTGTCCTGGCTGTAAAGTGCTCGACCTTTCAAACCTGTCGTGTTTCTCCGCGAAGTCGGGTATGCCGGGTATGCCTTTGAGCTGTGCCTTTTCGAGTCGAACCAAGGAAGGCTCTTCGGACACGCCTAGGCGCGTGAGTGGGAAGGTCTATGAAGCCCTTTGATGACCTTTGCATACCTTTGCCCAAAAGTGTGCTGTCACCTTTTCCAGGAGAACCGCCTAGAAAAGCCAGCTGAAGATGAGCCGGCGACGGGGCGTGCCCAAGGATGTTTCTGGGACAGGCACAGATTCTTTGTTGCTTACACGATTGTGATGAAGGTGCGCAGATATTCATTGGAAACGTAAAAAAACATGCTTTTCACCGATTCTTTGGGCAAACAACGATGAGAGCCGTGGAGTGCCATGAAAAAGAGCCGTCGAGGGCCATGCCCAAAAGAACCCACCCACAGGCTTTACATAGGACTGGTCGGACTGGCCCATAGTTCGGGAGCAGTACACGGCTCAGCCAGGGAACGGCTCAAGAGTTTGCAGTTGTACTTGAGATGCTTGGAGGATCTACGGTGACAATGCCCAGACGAATGGTTCCGCGGCTCTGTCTCACGTCTTTCACCACGTTTCACACGAGCCTGGTGCCAAAATGAATCTCAGGCAGTTGCCTGACCCTTGGCCAGAAGCATTGTTGCATTTAATATGCTTATGAGGCCGGCAGGCTCCCCATTCTACAATGTTTCCAAGAACCATGTGGTGCCATGTGGACTGTAGGTCGCATGATGCCACCAACGACAGCCTTTGCTTGGTAGACCTGGTAGATAAGACATAGATAAGATATGGAGGTGTATTTCCATGGCTTCAGGCTAAGACCGGATGGCCGACGTGCTCATCCCTTTTCGTTCGATGCGACCCGGACTGGTCGACTGGAGCGATCTCCCAAAAAGGGTCGCCGAGACGTAGATGGAGCCACTTTGAGGACTTGGAAAGGGGTAGAGCCATTGATCCCTTGAAGCAAGAGAAGCAACCTTCTCGTGAGCCACTGGCACAACCGGTTCACAAGGGAAATCTTATTTGGTTGGTTGAAGAGAACGGCATCGTGCCCCCATAGATCCTTTCAGGAAGAAGGCTGCGAGATGTGGAGCCAGGCCCACTACTGACCTCAAAGTGAAATCCTGAAGTTGCTATGTTGCTGTACATTGCAGTATGTTTGAGTATGTATTCGTGCATGTTTTGGTCTCTCAGTCATGTTCTTCTGGCCTGCAAAGTCCGGCAAAGTGTTGAACAACATGTTTGTTTGGCAGCTGATGCGTTGTGCATTGTTTGCGAGAATTTGTTTGTTTTTCTGGAAGTGTAAGAAAGAGAGAAAGAGAGAGATAGAGAGTGAGTGAGTGAGGGAGGGAGGGAGGGAGGGAGGGAGGTGAACCAAGCAAATCTAGAGAGCCAACCCAAGGTTCCAAACATCACTGGTGGAGCTGAGCCACTGGATGCTTGCTTCGCGTGCTGCTGATCCCAGCCAGAATCAAGCCAGGAAGCCGAAGAACCGTGAACCAGCAGCATGAATGACAATTTGCCAAAATTGGAGTTCCAGGGCAGACCAGCACCAGTCGCATTTCTTAGGGTTTTCCGGGTTACAGTATCCCATTTCCAACTCATTCAAACTCGTGAGATCACTTATCCGCAGTTAAGGATAGTTAAGGCCCTTCAGCTGAAAGCCCTTCACAGTCCCAGTGTTGGGCTTCTTTAACTTTATATTACCCCCACAACAACAACAACATCAGCTGAACGTACGGACTCCGGAACCATTTCCCGGGCAGACCGTCACAAACAGACCGGCTTATCACAAAAGCGTTTCAAAAACATCGCTGGCGATCGCCGCCGGGCCTTCGCTCCGCGATGACCTGAGATCGCCAGAAGACGCAGGCGATCGTGTTTGCGCCCCAGCATGCTTGAGTGCTACATGATCTGGAGTCACTGGAGACACAGAAGGCTGATGAAGGCTGTAGGTGGCCGGGGCTATCCAAGTGGATTTGGCTGAAAGTGGGGGACCAAACATGATCATCATAGAAGTTGTCATATAGTATGAATTCATGTAAGTTCCACCATCAGGTCGGTCGAGCTGCAGGTGTTTCAAGAACCCATGTCACTCCCGTGATTGCTCCATACCTGCTGTATAGATGTTTAGAGGGGTTCAAGGGGGAGGACGCCCTTCTTTGAGGAGCACGCCACTCAAGCCCTACAATTCCAAGACCACTTTTGCTGCGTCCTCCATGGCTTTCATGTCCCAACCAGGCCGTTTGGGAGCTGGCCGAATGGCGGAGGGTGAGTTGCCCGGCCACGAAACGGGCGATGGTTGATGGTCCGGGAAGGTCGCTGAACGACCTCGAAGCAACAGCCCCACGAAGGTACAGGGATGTACAGGGCTATTGCTAGTAGGGGCCCAAATGTAGGGACATTTCATGGGACACGGAAAGTTTGAGTAGTTGCCGCTGGACATACTTGACAAGCCGAGTTGGCTGTCACACCAACTAACTGAACAGAAGCGAGCGGAAGCGGAAACACTACCTCTAACCTTCATGACGGTTTCAGACGAGTTGGCTTTCTCTCAGCGCTTCACTGTGTTAGAGAGTGAGAGACTATATAGAGAGAGAGAGAGGCAACAGTAGTTCAGTAGTTAAGCTCTTTGACTTCTTCTCTCATCCACAACAGGGTTGTTTCTCAGTGTTTGAATCGCATGGCCACCTCATGGGCCCGACAGTCAACGCACGAGTTTAACCGGTGCGCACCAGTAACGCACCAGGCCATGACCAGCGCAAGCTGGCTCCTGAAAAGGCCACAAAAGCTGTGAAAAGGACGTGAAAACAGGGTGAAAGGCCTTGAAGAACCTGCGAAACATACTGTAGGTCTTGATGTCTTGGGAGTTGAAATGCGTCCTCCATCCCGACGCGCCAGCTTCACCTGCCGGACTTGGGCCGAACTCAGAGTTGCACTTGGATCTTTTCTCCTGTGGAGATGTCAAAACATCTGCCAAAACCTGTGGCTCTTCGACCTTTGGACCGACTTCGCACCCGCTTCCTCTGCACCGACTGGACTTCCTCGGTGACCGGTCGCCGAGGCGAATGGAAAGGATGAATCCTGTGGCCATTGAGCAGTGGATGGCAGGCGGGTTCAGCGCAGAAGGTTGTTGCGGTCAGCGACGAGTAGGCGGTTTTTCCGGTTTTTGCGAAAGGTCACCGACCCGCCGATGTGTCCAACACCAGCGTAGATATGAAGCTTTCCCTTCCAGGGGGAACCCGCAGGGTGTTTAGAGATGTTTAGAGCAGACTTTGAAGCCTCTATGACTTATCACTTTGTGCCTCCAGAGGCTGTTATCGGTATCGTCGGAGTTTATTGACCAAAGAATGTACAAGTTCCTTCACCGGAGCGGGTGAGCTTTTGACCCAGTTGCCAGGAAAATGTCCTTAATTGATCTTAAGATGGGGGTATGTGCTGTCGAGCCAAGCCAGGCAGAGAACATCAGAGAACATCATGGATTCCAGCCATTTTGCACTGAGTGTGTGAATGTGTGAACCATTGGCTGTAACCATGTCCAATTTCAATGCCACAATTACTGTACATTCGGCACTGAGAATGTGAAACTTGCCACTTCTTGAGAAACCTTTGGGAATATTTTCACCTCATCATTGTCCTCCACAGTTGCCTGAGGCGCCATAGGCGCATTGGCCGTGGCGCTCCTGGTGACGCGATGCCTAAGGCGGGGGATGAACTCCGCCAAGGGGTAGCAAGGCCACAATTGATAAACTGATATTCGGGCCTTAGGTCAGGATGTTTCCCAGCCAGGCCAGATCAGCGGTTTCCATCGATGTTCCTCGCGTAGCTCCCAAGAGCCCAGAGGGTACAATTCCTTCGCGAGGCTGTCGCTCCTGATCGCCCTGGTGGCACTGACACTGGAGGCTGCGGCATTGGCCGGCCAACTGGGCTTGCAACGTGGCTTGGGACACAACACTCCAGCCCCTGCACGGGAGGCTTCAGACAGCCCGCAAGAAAAAAACGGAAGATACCATCCTGGCGCAATGCCCGACATCGCGAGGAATCACTTGTCACTCAGTTAATTTACTCGAAAAGCATGAACTTGATAGTCAAGCCTGTCGGCGTTGTCTTGCAGAGGTAAGTGTTGCAGTACATGCATGTTCCGACATTGTCTTATCGCGAAAGCTAGCTATATAGCTGGAGTTGATTTTGCATGAGCAAAAGTTTTGGGCCGGAATTCCCTACCAAGTTAATTTATTATCACAGCTATGGGCACCCTCCTCGGCGGGTTCAACTCAGTACTTGACAATGTGCCCTTCAATTGTGCCGTGGCCTGGTGCGATTGGATTCGTAGCCAGCTGGTCGACTTCATGTAGCTCCCTACTTCACGCAACTCACCTTCACCCAAATACTTGATTCTAACTCATCCTCGTCATCATCTTTTCCGGGACTAAATATACTATGAGACACGCACGATCAACCAAGCCCACCACTTTCTCCTTCAGAGTCACTTCTGCAACGAAGACATCCACATGTCACCCACATTGCACTTCAACTGAGGTTATTTGGGCATGGGCCCTGCAAGACTGGCTGTGGGATTTTCTGCACGTTCCATTCGCTTTTGATCCTTGGCTTGATGCCTTGGGATGCACGTTTTTTTTCGGTTCGGATCGGTCCGGTGCCATGCAGTTTGGTTCGCGTATCCAGCTTACTCGCAAGTCGAAGGGATAGAGAAAAGACCTACCAGCTGATACGTGGGTGCTTCTTAAGTCAGAGAGTCCAACACATCCCGCCCTTGAACCATTCTTGACTGTAGCTGTGGATGTGTATACGTTACGTCATGTCCAAGTACTTATCAATCTACTTCCTCAGACCTTCGTGGAGCCTTACCTTCCTTTTTACCACAACATGGGACATCGGCATGTTTCGGGCGAGTGGTCTTCAATGGCGGCAGCATTGAGGCATCATCAATGTCAACATACAGCCACTTGGATGTGAGCAGTTAGGTGACAAGTCCATAGAGGACAGGTTGAACCAACCTGATGCGTTAGGTCTATCCAGGATGTGAGCAGTTCGGTCACCCACATCGCACTATAGGACCTCCCGGCAGGGCAGGTCTCAAGGACACATTTCACCTCCCAACTTCCAGACCTACTGTAACGACAGGCGTTTCACGGCCTTTCACCCGGTTTTCACGAGTTATATATTGCACGGCCAAGCTTCAAGCTAGAAGAAGCTCCCGTTTGGCTCAAGCAGCTGCGTTACTAAATTTTTAAAGACTGGTTCAACTGATGCATTGACCCCACTTGGAACAGCTGTCCCAGTCCCCGTCACCAGACTGGCAGTTACCCACCAGACTTGGGGATGTGGTCTCGATGTGTGAACCGGGTCTCGCACCACCGTGCGACCGGTCTCGCCACGACGCGAGTCCCAAGGTCCGAAGGTTTGATCTCACGGCTGGTGGTGCTGCCCTTGCCGCTCCTACTGCCACTGGTCGATACCGAAGTGAAGGATGTGTTTGAGTCAATGTGGGCGAAGATCACCAGTGGATTTGCACCGGGCAAGATGGAGGGTCCAAAATGGTTTGCATGAGGCTGAGTGGTAGGTGGGATTTTTTTCTTGACTCAATGTGTGGCAGGCATGTGGAACTAGGGCCACTAGTCACTAGCTGTGGATTCAGAGCTGTTTGCTATGACATGTTGAGAGTACATGAGAGTACATAAGGTAAAGAACATAAAGAGAAAGACGTAGAGATATAGACATAGACCATATGGATCCCAATGACATGATCATCACCAACATAGAGATTGACGGCAAGACATGGCAAGACCACCCCCAAAGGTTGGACCTAGAGCTAGGTGTCGTAGAGATGAGCCAGGTGTATTTGAGTGTGATTTTTAGAACTATGGTGTATCTATGCGGACGTCAGATTTGCCCACTGGCTTTCCTTTGGTGCTTGCAGGGTCAGCTGTGCTACACCTGGTGCTTGGTGTGTGTGTGTGTGACTCTCTTGCTTATGGTTGTTTGCAGGGGAGAGAGGTGCAGGTGTGAAGCAGTTGCAACGGCCAAGAAGGTGTAATCAGGATCAATCAGACATGGTATGATCAGATGAATGTTGGAATGCAGATGGCAGTATCCAGCTATAGCTAGTAACAAGGGCGTCGCTACTAGTAACAAGGGCATTACTACTAGTAGTGTCCTTGTTACTATAGCAGCGACGCCCCCGCCGTTCAATCCGCGATCGTCGTTCACCGTTCAATCCAAAGATCGCCGATGCCGACCTTCACCGTTCGCAGGGCTGACCACCAAGGACGCACCGCAATGTGGGTCCCGGGCCCTGGGCCCCAACACAGTCAACATGTCCAGCATGACCAGCAGGAAACCTTCCAGCAGGAAAGGGCTCCAACATGAGGCGCAGGTATTCATCCACAGCTTGAGCATGGTCAGCATGGTCTCTTTTTTGAGGACTGGCTTCGCTGCCTCCGAGCTGAGCCTAAAGTTGCAGCCGTGCCGAGCTCAGCTGATGCAAAGCACCTTTGTTTCAGCAAGGGTTCGTTGCAAAATGCTGCAAGTTGTGGGCCCTCTACTGGTGATTTGTTCACCGAAATATCATCTCCTGTGACAGGTGTTGTCTCTTGGCGTTTCCAGGTTTCAAACACACATCCCGGTCAGGTTTGGGTCGCCGCTTGCGCGACCTGAAGCTTCCAAAGTATTTTGGAGGTAGGTCAAGACTCGCGGTGAAGTACATGTTTGTAAGAGTTATGGCTACTACTCTAGGAATGCTGCATCCCGTAACGTCAAGACAAGACTCATGCCTGGAGCGATCCCAAGCCAAGCTTTGTCGCATCCATGCGACCCGGTTGGACCGGTCTGCACCGAGACGAGGAGTGACGCGCCCGTGGTTTCTCGATGCTCGGTGCAGGTTTCGCATCCAGCTTTGTGCTACTGGCTTATCCTTGGCCGTGCGCTGTCTAGAAGCCAACGCAGCTTCGGTGGAAGTTTGGAAACCTTTCCTGAAAAATCCCGCTCCCCCCACTTTGCCCCCACGTACGACGTACGGGGCTTGAAGAGGAGAAGCGTACAGCATGAACCCCCGTTTTTGGTGACACTCTTTGCCTGGTTGCCTGGGAGCTATTGTCGTAGAATGTTGAAGATGTTGAAGACTCCACCAGCCAATTGTGGTCAAGAACTTGTCTTTGTTGTGTTTCTTGTTGTAGAGGGCACCATGGTTTGAGGAAGTGTGGGACCGCACCCGCACAAAACAGTGTCTCGGCAGGTCTGTCCGTTAAAGAAACATAAGTGTCGCATGAACGCACATGAACGCTGGGCATGCAAAGCGCACCCTGGCGTTCAGGAATGGAACAAAGATTCAGCTGTGAAGGGCGCACAAAGTGCAGCCCTCTCCCAGCCACTTGGTGACTTTCATTTTACGTATAACTACTGTATAACTGGTCGAGCGGGAGGAGGCTGGGCTGTCATGGAAAGCGTGGTGCTTGCAAGTGTGTTTTGATGTGCTTATTATATGGTCCATTTTTGGCCCTATCTCAGTGCAAGTCACTTAGCAGTTAAATTAGGCATATTCAAGCCAGCATTGGCGGCTGGTCCCCCATTTTGCAACAAGTCCAAATTCAAATAGATGCCTTGAGTTTTGGACTCCACTTTATCGTTATGTATTGGCCAAGGGGTTTGCATTGAGCCACTTCAACCATATACTGCACCTTCCACCAAAGGTCAGAGCTGTGCTGCCTTGGAATATGTTGATGATGTTGCAAGCAGAAGTCATATAACTCCGCAAAAACAAGAAAGAAGAGGTTGATTCTGCATGACTCTGGCATCTCCAAATACATTGCATAGTCTCAGGTCCAAACTGACCAATCTCTCAGCCGGCATTGAGCCACAAGATTAGCTGAGGCTCGAGATGCTTTTCTTTGCCATGGAACGCAGACACCGTGAGGTGGATGGACTTGGCGGATGAACACGGGATGGGAGGTTGGAGTTGGAATGGTTGAAAGGCATAATTGAACGTCGGAACATCGCTGAAAGTCTGAAATACCAAGGTGTGGGGATTTAGACCATGCTTGACCAATCCTCAAGATGCCACTTGTGGTATTTGATCTCAGTTGTGCACTCTGGCAACCTAAACTCACTGACCATGGAAAGGATGACGCAGATGTATGGGTCGGGCGCCCTTGGGTTTTGTGATGGCCATAGCAAACACAAACTGGACGTTGTCGTGACGAAGTAAGGCAAGGTCCAGCATGGAATGACTGAGAATCTGGCAGGTCACAAGCCCTCCTGCGAAGAAGCGTTCCCTGCAGCTGGTGAAACAGCTGGTTGATCTTCGGCAAGAATGAGAGTGCTTGCATTGTTCAGTGGCATCCTGCTTGACAATGCAGAACTGATGTAACAGGGGAGTTCGCTAGTAGGGCACACTGCGCACATACGTACCCTTCCTGCTTCTATTTCCTTGCAAATCGATGTTGCAACCAATTTGCTTTAACGGAGGCTGCATGTTGCAGTGATGAGTTGCACTACATCCATGAACGATTCTACCAGAATCAGAATCTGGATCTGTTGTGCCACAGCCCCAACCAGAGGATCAATTGTCACCCCATTTATACAAACATTTGCCACCTTAGAATCACTATGCTCAGATTTCAGAAATAAATGTTGCATTCTTCAGCACACTGCTTTTTCATGCTTTTCCTTAGGATCCTTGACACAATATCATACGTAGTCCTGCATGTTGTCGTGGATCAGTTGACAGTGATCCTTGACTAACGACTGATCATTTGATCCATGACCCAGGGGCCCGACCAAGGACTTGATTCTGGACCATGTGGAGGTGCAGGTGCCACAGGGATTTATTGAAAACGCGCGGTTTGGTCGAAGGATCAGGGTAGGATCATGGAAGAACTGCATCTGAAGCGGAAGCTATTTACATTCGTATTGCTGCATTGCCGGTTGCAGGAAGGTATTGCACCAAGTGTTGAACCTTCAGATGCTGTTCATTGGTTGAGGGGGGTTATCGATTCGCCTCTTTGGATGCACTGGTGGTACACGCCGTACCCGAAGCTTTCGCACCAGGCAGACGGCTTCGCCCTGAAGTTGGAAGCAATGAGATACCAAGGCGACGGAATCCCAGAGGGCGTCCGGAGGCAGTCGTCGTTTGACCCTGGTAGCGACCCAGGGGAAACATCGCTTTTGTTTGCCGCTCTTAACAGCATATGCCGTCAATATGGTATATATATATATATGTGTATATATATATACTGATTCTTTCCTCATGAAACTATAGTGAACAAAAAAGGACTTTGCGTGCCCAAATGGATCCAAATGGGCTGAAAGACTTACAGGGCCAAGGCGTTCATATCGCATCATATCGCTTGCCGTTCTTTTGTTTGGGGCCTGTTCTTGGCATTTTCTTGGCTTTCTCAAGGCGAAGAAGCGCCACAGCTGAGTCCCGAGAGATTCCTGGCTCACATCCAGCAGCTCGGCGAGCACATGCGAGCACCCTTGGCTTGCAGTGTTGAATTTGGAAGTCCATTTTCCTTCCATGTATTTCCATCATATATATAGTATATTACAAATATATAGGTTCATTTATGTTCACCTTACATGAAATACCATGAAATACCTGTTTGGTTTCCGTGTTTTGTCACGTTAGTTGTTTTCTCGTTCCATCTTCAGGGTTGGCCGATTTCATCTTCCATCTGCAGTTCCCGAAGTTGATCCTCAAGTACCTTGCTCCTTGGATCGGATCAAGCGAGCACCAGCGGCAGAACGAAGCGACGGCCAGTCCGAGCCATCGCCACACCGGTGAACCGGTCACCGGTTGGTAATGGTTGGAAATAGTTAAATCGCTCGAGGTGGTTTTAACACTAAATACTAAATATCAACGTTTCACTGTAGGTTTCAGAAGTGCGTGCGCAGATTCAAACATAATACTACCTGATTTCATGAGGGGGTGCCTCATTAGCAGTAACCGCGAGCGATAAAGATTATCGCAATTCTTGAGAAAGGCCTTTACTTACTAATTTACTAACCATCATCCACGTGGATACCGGAGAAATTAGATGTTATTGTTATTATCCTTGTTCGACGTTCCGGAAATCAGGCCCTGATGTGTCAGCATGCAGCGATGGTGAGTACTTTTGCCCTCGTGTGCAACGCTGCTTGGCACACCACTGCAACAACCAGTTAACTCTAAAAAACTGCCGAAGTGGAAACTGACCCCTGGAAGACGACTTTACGCTACAGAATGGACCTTTTCCCCTTTCATGTTTCTTCTCAGGACTGTGCATGGATAATATGTCAAAAGTCTTGGTTTGCCTATAGGGTTCAGAGTGACTTTTTGGACTTGGACTTTGTTTGATTGCCGTTGCTGAGCCAGCAGAAATCAACATGGTCCTTCCCAGATCAGCACTAGGGTGTGAGCAATATTTTTGATCAGGCAGGAGGAAATGGCACGTTTCCATAAACTTGAGCCACATGAGCCATGTTCCGCCATAGCCGTCCAGGTGATATCCGCGTCAGGGGCTTTGACGCTTGGCCGACCAATGACCGGACGACGCAAGTCCTCCATCAGAGCCACGCAGCCAACTGTGTGGCAAGGTAGGTGTGCTGCGCTGCTTTTCAGCAAAGGATGAAAGTTAGAGAACTCAACATGTATCGTGTATCCTTGCTGAGTGGCCCTGACATTTGGCGGAAAAGGTGCCCTTTGTGAACACAACTGCTTTGTGAACATAAACGATAGTGGTACTGTTGTTAACATCCTTGCGCCGTTTGTGTATAATCCAGGTGGCCGGTGGCCCAACGTCAATGAAAGATCGCTGTCCAAACGTCACAGTGTTTTGTTTGTGCTGAGCCAGCCCAACAGCCCAACAGCGCCTCCCAAGTCCTTGAACGTTGTGGGTGCTGCTGGTGTGGGCCTTCGGCAGGACGGTGGGGAAGCTGCGTGGTGTCGGTACAGCGTTTTACCCACCAGGAATCCGCAGGCAATCCATGTTGATCCCCTGCAGTGGCAGTCCCAGTTCTCCAGCTCCAGCATCCCTGGTCCAAGCAAGTCGTGGCATTGTCTCTCATCCAATCACTTCGAGCTGTGATCAACCGTGCCAGGGGCTAAACAAGTAAATATCATAAATATATGGACCGGAATGCCCTTTCATCCTTGTTTTGATGGTTTATTAGACTCACTCAGACAGGGTGTTTTGCAGGATTCGTCCAGCTCCAGCAGACACTTGGCAGCTTAGAGCGACCAGGGTGCATGGTGCCTTTTGGCATTCGCTTATGCAGACGGTGCAGACACTCGATCATGTTGCGTAATGCATCTGTTCTTCCAACTTGCTTCCTACTTGGGAAGCAGACATGAATTGGCTGCGCTCTTTTTTTGGGGTGTGGGACTCCATACATACATGATAAATCATGATAAGTATATTATATATATAGTAGTTATATAAGCATATATATATATATAAGTCCATGTATATATAGACCTTTGAGCCGGAGACTGCTTGGGTGCATTATTTCATAGATTTGCGTAGCTGAAGACTTCCGTAGTGCAACTTCCACATACTTCTTTGCCTAGGCGCCACAACAAGAGCTCACATGGGAGTTACAGGCACCGGGATTTGAGTATTGTATAGATGATCGACCAGTGTGTATGGGAACCGGGGGGCCCAACCAATGGGTGTTCTATTTCTCCTCGTCTCCCTGTTTCAATCCACAAGCGGCAGATAGGCTTTGTTGATCTGCAGGTCAACCACAAATGGACCTCTTCGGGTCAATGCCTGAGATGCAGATCCGCTTGGCAATGCCTCCAGTGCCCCGGGCGTAGACAGTTTGTGAGAAGCATCGAAGCTGAAAATCATTGGTTTGCAACAGGAAAGCCTTCAGAGTATTTGTTGATGTCATGTTCCATTGGTTGTGCCGGGCTGTGAAACCTACACAGTAGTAGGGTGACAACGCACTGCTGAACGGCTTTTGGGTGCGGAGTCGGAGCACATATATATATATATATGCGAGGTGTTGGAGTACTAGCTTAGCTGGCATGTTTCACTCGGCACTGTATAGTATAGTTGACATGTTGAAACCTATGACACATGACTGGTCGTTGATTCTGTGTGGTTGTGTGTGCAGGGGTGTGTGCGTGTGTGTGTGTGTGTGTGTGTCCCACCCTGGACAAAGGGTCTTACCCCACCACTCTTCCCATTTTACACAGGCAGGGGGGCAGTGGACCACCATCACTCACTGCCCAACGAAGACAGTGATGGATCGGTCGTGAAGCAATGCGGGACGCCGCATTGTGTACCTGCTGAGTTCTCTCCATGCTGTGACTCCACTTTCCACGTTTTTGGTTCATGGTTCTTCATGATACTTCCCCAAAACCTTCCCTTTGCCGCGTTTGTTTTGCAGCTGGGCCGCGCCGACCGATCGTTCAGCAGACTTGACCAACAACTTGTTGAAACACCTACAAGTCTTTCGGACTCTTCACCATGCCGTTCCATCGCCTTCCTTCCATGCCGTTCCCATAGAGACAATTGCGTTAACTGAAAACTCCAAGTTCGAAGTGTGTCCTGCTCAGCCGTCCCACTCGGGTGCTGAGTGTGATCCCCGTCACAGGGGCGCCGTTCTTGCATGGGAAAGCAACCACCCCAACGTACCACCGCTCACTGGAACATCACAGGAAGGCACCGACACCCTCGCAGAATCAACCGCCACACCGGCCGCCGGGCCAAAAAACGGTTCTTGAAGAATACATCGGATATCAGCTTTCAGATTTCGGATCCATCATGCTCACTCCTCCAAGTCACGTTTGTGTTTCCACGTTTTGCCATATCGATGCCGTGACTTTTTCATCAGCAGAACTCAAGCTTGGGCATTAGAGCTCTTCAATCTAATTCGAGATGCATGAACACACACCTACCAACAAGTTCACATTTAGCACCACCTTACAACATACTCACCACTGACACCAGAGATGACACCTTCAACAACAACAACAAGACAATACAACTCGGCACTTCTCCGCTGTTTTTGCTGCCGCGCCGCGCCGCGCCATAGCTACGACCACGACATGCATTTTCCGTGTCCCTATGCTCACACCACGCCACCACCATTGCCTACCACACAACCTCAACCCACATGGCCGATGCCACAACCATCAACTGCACCCACCTTTCCCTCGACACAACCATCGGCATACCCTCACCCACAACCACAACCATTTCAACCACCACCGTTCCTGTCCAACCCTACCGCCACTGCCCTGACCTACGGCGCACCATCCACTTGGACTTTTGTCCAACCATGTCACGTGCCACCGCAACCCACACATCCAACTCCAGTGTTTCCGACAGCAGCACCTCCCCCGTCCTACCTGTTGCCACCACATCATCCCACATCACCGGCTGAACTTCCCCCCCCCACTACACTGACACATCCCCCTCCAACACAGCCACAGCCTGCGATTGCCAATTATCCATCCACAGACCCCCAATGCGCCATCCCCCAGGGCGTTTGGCAACCCTATTCAGCTTTTCCCCCTGTCACACAGCCTCCACTCCAACCGTTGCCCCCGCCACCGCCTCCACAAACCATCAACGCCTCAACACCAACCCAACCTCCACCTCAACAGCAGCCACCATCGGATCCAACACTACCGATCCAACCCATCCCCACGACTGCCCAGGACAATCCATTACCAGTCCAAAACACGCCTCCACTAGCTACCGTATCCCAACATTCAGCATCCCCATCGCTCATATCTGCCACACCAGCGCCTGGACCTTCACTACCAGCACCAGACCAACCTGACACCACTGCCTCACCAGCACCGCAACCACCTTCCCCGCAACCACCACACAGCAGTCGCCGCCACCACCACAAGAGCCGACGCAAGTCCGACCATCACCACAGAGGACGCCACCGCCACCGCCGCCGACATCGCCATCACCGCCACTCCAAACATCACAGCACAACCCGGCGACGGCGGTCGCCTTCAACATCCACCTACACATCCAGCCTTACGCCATCCCGCAGTCGTTCGCCACCACAACCCATTGATCTACGCCCCAACACCGAACACACCAACCCGGACCCCTCTCAATATCCCACCACAGCCGTCCTCCGTCGCCCAATCAACCGTTGGCGACCTCCACCCAACTTTCACACCTTTACACCTGCAGACCAAATCCTGGAATGGCTCGAATTCCACGCCACCCAACTCGACAATCCCAACCGACCACAACACCAGTACATTGCCAATATCCTCACAGACTGCAACATCACCTACAAGGAGATCACCGATTTCCGACAATATACCCACGCTAAGTGGAACGACACAACCCACCAATACGACCAATTCCAGTACTACGCCATTTCACTTCCCTTCCTCAACACCAAAGCCACTACACCAGAGCCACCTGCGGTTTCCCGCGCCACATCAACCCACCGGGAAGTCGCCCACATCAACGCAGGCCACACAGGCCCCGTCGGCAACATTTCCAACATTCTACGCCAAGGCCGTTTTTTACCCAGCACACTCCACTTTGCTAACTACCCTGGATTTTTTGCCCAGGGCGTTCGCATCACCCACAACCAACCCCATGACCACAACGAACTTGCCCGCATCATCCACAACACCTGGCAACTCCACAAGAATTCCCATTCCCTTATCATCACACTCCTTGCTTGGGGTGCTGCCACAAAATATACCTCTGGAGGTGAGGAACACGCCATGAACCTCCTTAACGACCACCATGGTGCAGTCTTTCATCAGAAAGGCCGCTGCTGGGTGATCCACCCGGACCACGCCATTGTCAAAGGACTGGCCTGGTCCACCAACTCCACTCCACCGGACCCATAACACCACTACCACACTTCTACACACCACTACCACCTCCACATCCACTTTTGGTCTCACACCACCACCCAACCTTTGCTGTAGCAGCAAAAAAGAGCCTCCTGCAGCGGCCACGGGAATTTTGAACCCTCAATTTTTCTAGCTCTGCAGTGTTTGCTGAGAACTTTTTTGAATTGTACCGGCTGTTTTGAAGGAGTCTTTCACATGTCAGATTCTGCATCGTGGAGAGTGATTCTTCAAGTCATGTACTCAATTGTCCAACCGGCATTGCATACTCGCACTTTTGCCTGTGGGAATTTGATGCTCGCTTAATTCATATGCACGGCCTCGGGATGACGCGCTCCCTCAGACTCGCCGCTGTCCGGCTGCTTTGGCGCGCTGCCGCAGCAACCTGTGACGATTCTTGACCACTGCACACCCCTACATTTCAGACTCATGAGCAGCACACCGACACCTCTACAAAACGACACCTCAACTCTCATACACAAAACCGCAGTGGCACTTTCGCAGGTGCACAACCTGCTTCGACAAGCAACAGATATTGTAGCGCACCTCCACACGGTTTTCCTCCACCACAGCCACCAAGCGGACCCCACTTTCCGCCAACACTTTCAGCCACTTCCAACTCCGCCCAACCACCCTATACGTTTACCATCCACCACCTCATCCTGTGACTCAGCACCATCCAGACCACCCATCCGTTTACCAGCACCACCCTTACAAGACTCAGACGACACTCCAACAACACCCCCTGATCCACAATCCACCACAACACGCAAGCGGAAGCAACCACCCCCACCACCTTTGAACCGACAGGCCGATTGGGACGCTTGGGACGGCGACGCTGACTGTCGCCTGGTCGAACTCAAAGAAAACCCAA